CTATAGGTAACAATTTCTAAACATCTTTTAGTGTGACAGGAAATTAATATTGTAGCTATTTTGATTAATTATCCATCTACTGACTGAAAATCTTTGCCAGAACTTGACTGCAAAAATGGAAGATTCTTCAACATATAAAAAACAAAATAATTAAGTTTTGAAAAAGGTGAAAAACAAGCAAATTTAATGAAAGACTTTAGGATTAATTATCCTAATACCAATTATCACATATCTAAAACATTATTAAGGATACTTTGCCACAAATGAATTAATGAATACACAGAATTTTGAACGGCATTAAAACCAAGTGGATCATAAAACTGAAACATTCTATCTTTAATCTTTGCAACAAGTAAAACCCAATGATTATTATTGATAAGAGCTGGAATAAAAAAGAAATCAACAGATGCAAAATCAGCTTTTTTCCATACATTTTGAGTTCTATTACCTGACTGAAAAAAATGGTGTATGGTAACATTTGGCAGCTATGGAAGAAGTATTATGAAGAATGGTAAAAAAAAAAAAAAAGCATCAATAATATTGTCACTAAGCCAGCCAAGCTGAAAATTATTATTTACAGCCTTCAGGGCTAAAATTTCTTCATTTGAAATATAAGGATCAAGAGATTTTATATCGAGAAATGTTAGAAGTGTTTCCCCAGCTCGCAGAACACATTTTGAAATATCGGATACATTAAGCTCAGAGGTAAAAGAATTATATTTAAGTAAATTGCTACCCTTAACCTTAATTGTGGTATCCTGTGATGATTTATGTCATATTATTTGATAACCCTAACAAACCTTCCTTGACATTTTTTTTTTATTATAAGTATCGGGATAATCTAGAATTTTACGTTTTATACCTTTCACAGATGTTGTACGAAACAGAGTTTGACGTGATAATTTTAAATTTGGAGCAACCTGAGTAAATGGCATTTTATCAGAAAAATCTTTCAAATGGTTTGATTTTATTGCACCTTTACAATTAGAAACTATATCTTTTAAATTCTTTGTTATACTAGGTATTAATATCTTTTGGATTGTCGGATGCGGCAACATAACTAATAATTCAGACATTAAAGTCTTACAAGTGTTAATTTTAGGTTCAGTGTTACACACAACAGTATCTGAAATAGCATTAGATTTTTTAATCAATTCTAGAGGGGAGGAGTTTTCTGCTTTAAGGATATCTGTTGCAATTACAGAAGGACTTGGTTGCCTGCATGTAATTGAGTGTATTTTATGTACGTGTTTACATAGTGTGCTGAAGTCTGGACAATTACAATTATATAAATGATGACACAGATTTAGACAGGAGAGGTTAATACACTTTGAATAACAATGATCTGTTTCTGAACATAGTTCATGCAACCGCTTAACTGTATATTGAATATTTTTACGTGTCTGTGATTTTATAGACCACAAACAAGGATGTGTTTCTGTTACATCACTATCAGGTATTTTCATTCCAGATTCATGTCATTTATTATAAGTTGGCGGGTAGATGCTCTCTTTACAGTTAATTTCAACTTTATACTTATAAGCCATGTAAATATCTTCTTCAATTTTTAAAAGCACATTAATTAAATTATCGAGGCGTCTGTTAAATTTACGTTTTAAGTACATAGTTTTCAATTTATTGTGAAATGACTCGCAATACATGTTAGTATCTGTGAATGCATGAGGGAAGTTTCTGTATGCCATTGACCACAGACTTGCTCGGCAATAATAATACTCCTCAAAATAATTTACAAACGATGGTGCAACAGCTCGAAACTTTTGAAGGAAATTATCCATCATAGAAATAAATAAAGAAGAATTAGTTTCTTCAAGCAATATAACTAAATTAAAATAAATTTCATCCCTAAGTTTTTGACTTGAAACCATTCGAAATAAACTACGTTGCCATGCACGATGTACATGCCATTTACATAGTATATGTTTAATACCTGGACCAAATGGCTTTTTCAAATGCAGGATGTGTAGTTTTATCATCATCTGTCATTAAACAATTAATATTAAGCTCAGGTATTACACATTTGATACTAAGAAATAAATTGTACATCGTATCCTGATCCAACTGATTTGAAATAAAATGTGCTACGGGGTAACCACTACCAAATTCATCTGGGACAATTAAATTTAGCAAATAAAAATCATACTGATTTGTTTTGTGAGTAGAATCTATACATAAAATCCTGCCACAACCTTTAATCATCATTTCTTTTTGCTCCTTTGTCTGCAATCCTAGTGCAAAAGACTTATTTGGAAAAGACAGTGTGTCAAGGCCTTTCGGACCATACAATGTTGGTTTTCCTCGAGATTTGTAAATAAGAATAGGGTCATACGATTCCTGCCTAAGTTTCTCAACCATGGCAGCAACAGAAAGTGAATCATCACTAAGAGAAGAAATCATTACACGCTTTACATAGTAATTTATAGTCCTACATGTTACAAAATTATCTTTAATACTTAAGCTCTCTCTATTATCACGTGATCCACTTCCATCTCAGATAAATTCTTGAATTTGATCGGTGGAAACACCTAACTGAGCATAAGTTTTGATTTGATCACGACAATTCTGACTAAGCTGTTGAAATTTGGTATTTTCAAACGACAGCTCATGATTGTGACCTGAATAAAAAATAGCTGTCGCAAGATCTTGTTCCTCAGAAACTAAAATTCTGGATGGACATCTGAAGCCTAATGGTAAAGAACCTTTAAGATTTTTTCTACTTGAAATTGGCACTGGTTTTTTTTTTTTGTGTTACATTGAAGTGACAACAATAATAATGGTATGCTTTATTAACTTTATGTTTACTCCCAGAACACTTCTTAAAAGAACTGAATGTTTCCTTAGAATGACATTCTAACCACAGCTGAAACTCCACCATTGATGAAAATGTAAGCTCCTTCACATCCATCTCACAATTGTGAAATTCAGCCAAATGTTTATTATGATCACTAATAAACTGGAAGGATGCCTTGCAATCAGGAAAAACACACGGTTTACGAATATTTAAATTATTTTTAGAACAGCAAAACTTCTTATGATGAAAAAGGTTACTGCGGGTTTTACAGTCTATTCTCACAGTTGTCACAAATATATGATTTTGAATCAATTTCAGAAGACACACAGATTTACACCTTTTTTTATGATTAAAAAATGACTGTCTTGAAGCATATGACTTCATGCATACCTCGCACGTTCTTGGATATTTATTTTCTATTTCATCATTCTTTATGGTAGTACATAAATTATCCTTATTTAAAATTTTACAGTTACGTTTGTGTCTTGATAAAGTTTCTTTACAAGAGAAATCTTTCTTACAACATGGACAAATTATAGTCTTTATATTTGGGTTAACAGAGGTAATAACTTTGCAGTTTTCTTCAACATACCCATTTTCAGATTTCTGTACATTACTTTCACCCTGATTAGAATCATTTGCACCCCCAAACTTAATGTTAGAACATTCTGAATAATTTTTAAGAATAGAAAACTTGTTAAAATGAAAATATGGATGGTAAGAATTAAAATTTGCACAAGAACCAACAACTGATGGGCAAGTATTGGAATTGGTGACAAGCTGAGTAGATGAAACAGAGCCTCAAAAGCCAGTAGGCTGAGAAGTGACTAACGACATAAAAGAAAATTTAGATACAGATATAGTAGCCTTCTGCAAATCTGAATCAGAGCAAACAAATGAACCCTTAAAAACTGGAAAATTCGACATGGAAGTACAAGAATTGAAACTGATACCAAGATGAGATGATGATGAATTGGAATCCGAAGAGCCTGCAGGTTGAGAATTAGACACTGAATTTCCAGGAAGTTCAGAAATAGCTGCAGTATCAGGAAGTTGAGATCCAGTAGAATTTAAAACACCTGATGTAGTGTGGACAGTACATTCGAGAGCTGGAAAATCCAATACATCCAAAACACTGGAACTGCTATCCAAAATCATACTAGAAAATCCATGTTTTAAAACATCTGAGTAAAGTGGCTTAGGAGGTGGATCCAAAAAATTTACACTAGTGCCAAGTGAATATTCAAGAAGTGGAAAATCTGATAAACTCGGAATACTGGGATTAGTATTCAAAACAGAGCTAGTAAAACAATCATGCTTTAAAACATCTGAATAAAGCGGTTTAGAAGAAGAAACATGGCACAAAAAATCTCTAGAATTACAAACCCGAACACTGGAAACTAAAGAACGTTTCACAACATCTGAAAAGAGTGGTTTGGAAACAGAAGCACCAAGATTACTACCCAAATGAGTACTCAGAACAGAAGGAATACTGGTTAATGCTGGGAAACTGCTAAGGGATGTAGAACAAAATGGTGCACTTACCTCTGCAACAGTCAAACTTATCCTGATATCTTTTACAAAAATTTTCCCCAGCTGCTGATTACCTCTCCGATTTAGGTGTAAACCGTCTCTGGATAAACAAGTACTCCAAGAATAGTCAAAAGAGCTGCAAAAGAAAAACCCATCTTTACCTTCGTATGTTGCGAAAAGTCTTGAATTTATGTTTAGTATCTTCCTATTAAGTTCTTGTAGGTGATACGTGTTACAATCTCGATATAAATCCGGGCATCGTGGGAGAACACCTGAAAACAGAATGACCTTCGGGTTTAATCGTTCAATTCCCTTATATAGACAACCATATTTACGATGAATTTCATCTAAATCGTCATTTGAATTATTGGTACCAACGTGGACAAAAACTAAATGAAAATGGTTGTTCATAAAGGCAATCTCACGTGTCAACCTTTCAATCCTAGCTCCTGGAAAGCAACGAAAATCAACTTCGTAATCAGGTAAATTCGCAGACAAATATTCTTGTAAATATTTAATCATAGAATCCCCGATTATGAGTATTTTCATCTTTTCAGATTGCTTAGACAAACACATAACTAAAATAAGATAATTAAAACACAAAATATCAGCGCTAATACTACGTACCTTGCTACCACAGCAGCACGTGCAAGCAAAATGGCGAAAACCTGTATTGCTTACTTCCAAAAATTACATTTGGCTTCATTTTTCAATTTTGGCGCAAATTACGGTAACCTCTTAGTGTTGCCATCGGTCACGTGAGACCCGCTAACTTCCGTAAACTCTCAGCGTTTGTCGTCGCATATATCTGCAAACCTCGTATATATCTCGTTGGGTGTTCCCAATGTGAGCGCCTTCTTCGATCAAAGCTAGCTGTTTATATTTTCATACAAAGAAGAAACGTCGTGTCTAGCCCGAATGACAGAACATTTCCGAAAAGAAATATTTTAAAAGAGCACGTGCATACCGTAAAAGAGAAGAACCTCGTCTGTGAAGTACTATATAACAACTGTTTACAATAAAATATGATTTAAACATGCTTAAGCTTGTTCATTCAACTCAGAAACCTCACCTGTGTGATGTATGTAACCGGTCATTTAGCCGGAGAGGTCATTTAGAGGATCATATGTTTATCCACACAGGAGAAAAACCTTATGTTTGTGAGGAATGTAACAAATCATTTAGACAAAAGAGAAAATTAAAGATGCATATTCTTATTCATACTGGAGAGAAACGATTTCTATGTCAAGTATGTAACAAGTCATTTGCCCAAAAGGATGATTTGAACAAGCATATACTTATTCATACCGGAGAGAAACCTCATGAGTGTATGGTATGCCGTAAGTCATTTGGACTAAAACATAATTTAAAAATGCATACACTTACTCACACAGGAGATAAACCACATGTATGTAATATATGTAACCAATCATTTAAACATAAAAGTAATTTAAAGGAGCATATGCTTATCCACACAGGAAAGAAACCACATGTGTGTGAGATATGTAATAAGTCATTTAGACAAAGTGGTGCTTTAAATAAGCATATGCTTATTCATACAGGAGATAAATATCATATGTGTGAAGTATGCAACAAGTCTTTTACAAGGAAGTATGATTTGAACGTGCATGTGGTTATTCACACAGGAGAAAAACCTTATATATGTCAAATATGTAACAAGTCATTTAGTCATAACAGTACTTTAAAAGTACATATGCTTATCCACACAGGAGAAAAGCCTCATATGTGTGAGATCTGTAGGAAGTCATTTAGACAAACGTCTAAATTAAACAGGCATATGCTTACTCACACAAAAGAAAATTCATCTGTATGAGATATGTAATAAGTCATTTAAACTAAAAGGTTAAAATAATTGTATGTTTATTCACTTATGAGAGGAATCTTGTGTGTACGTGTAATCTAACAGTTTATTTAGATGAAAGAGCGATTTAAATTAGCATGTGGTTGCCCACACAGTAGAAAAACCTCATGTGTTGGAGATGTATAATAAATCATTTTGAGAAAAAGGTGTATTAATCCCTTGAGTGGCATGATTGCATTTATTCAGTCATGAGATTTTGTTAATAGATTTGCCAGGTACACTGCCTGCCAAATCTCGCAAATTTTTCTCTCGCGTGGTAACTATGGGATAGTGATAAGAGTTTATTTTGTATGGCAACGTATTGAACCACATTGTATATTTTTGTGTGGTTATTTTTCTTATTTTTGCTCTGCTTTTTGTAAGAAATAACTTTTTTGTAATTTTAATTAACATTTTATGCTGTTTTTCCTTTCTGGAATGGTAAATACACTTGTTTTAACATTGTTTTAATTATTTAAGTCTTTTGTTTACATTTTGCACTTTAAGGCTAACAAGTTTGTGAAAACTGGGTTTTCTCACCAAAAATTTTTTGCAGTAACTTTTCCTCAACATAGTGCAACTGGCACATATCTTCCGATTCTTTTGTCACTTGGTATACATTGGATTTAAAATTTAAAATGCTTTGTTTTCTTTCATTTTTAATGATGTAAATATCATTTTAATCATTTGTTGGAGTTCAGGAAAATAGATTAAAATAAGTAATTAAAAAAATTTGGGGTAAAACCCAGTATACGGTGCAGCCTTGGTGCGATTTTGAAAATTATCTCCAACACCAAAAATGACCCAAAGAACATCTATGTATATACTATACACTATATACTATCACTATATACATAGTATATATTATGTGTAACTATATATATTCTTTGAATGACCTGTTTACTACTTCATCAAATTATGTCCCGCTTTTACTGCTCATCATAACAGTCGCCAAATCCCGTGTGCACCGGTTACTAGGATTAAACAAAATTTGGCTAACAGAAGATGTTTAAATGCAGATCTTTAAGAGTAGACCCAAAAAGCTGTGGCACTTGGACATTTACATAAAGATATGCATACAGGAGAGATGTCTACTACGTCTACGTAGAAAAGTAAGTCATTTAAATAAGTATGTGCAGTTGATCTTTACATTATGGTAACTTGGCGATTTTTTGGCGAAAATTTGGCGACCAACTCTCCTACAGCAACCCTCTATTTTTTTTTTCCCGCCGCCATTTTGTCTTCACGAAGTAAAGACATGTTTCTTTTTCTTTTTATCTACTGAACACTTCTTCCAACAATCTACTAGCCGAATTACACTTATGCTAAAATTTTATCTAACAAAACTGCTTAATCATGACAAATATTCACTGCAAAATTGGGTAAAAGTGCACAATACCATACTCCTTACGCGTTTTTTCAAAATAACACATATACATAAACCATGTACACGTCGACTTATTTTTACTTAAAAAAACATCCCAGAATTACACAAAAATGGCATTGCGCACACTTTTCACTATATCCATGTACACTGCTTTTTTCTCATAAATTAGAAAAATTTCACGAAAATGCATAACAATTTTCTGAATCTTTAAATCCGGTAAAAAGAACATATATGAAATTACCTTACGCGAAAAAGTATATACCCTTTCCAAATATAAACATTTCCACGTTTAAAATAAATAAAATATCTAAAAACTTTTACCTCTAAATTATCTATTATATTTTAAACATCACCAACGAATTCATACCGCAAACAGTACAAATACTTAGTGTCAAATATTTAAATTATTTCCATGCACGTGTACTTCAGCTAAAACGTATACCAAATTCCTACAAACATAAAATTCACAAAATAACTATCATTTAATTAAAATATCACTAAACCATGTACACGTTGACTTATTTTTACGTAAAAAAACATCCCAGAATTGCACAAAAATGGCATTGCGCACACTCATCATTATATCCATGTACACTGCTTTTTTCTCATAAATTAGAAAAATTTCACGAAAATGCATGAAAATACTCAATGTATACTACTCAAATATATTCCAAAATACTACAAACATATAACTCACAAAATCACGATCATTAAATTAAAATATAAATAAATTAAAAAACACTACTTAAAATATAAATAAGCACATATATTAAATTAATAAAAATTAGATTACAATCCTAATTACTTTAAACTAAATCATTGCTAATAACAATTTTCAATAATACCATTTTAATTTATTTACTCCTTACATTTAAAACAATGCATAAAAATAATATCCTCAAATGATTAAAAATACTAACTTACCTAATCTTCTTCAGAATCTTCATTACGTCGCTGCAGTACTACTGCTAATTTCTAAATCCTAAATCCAGTAGTCAACTAGAAGTCTATTCACCAAGTAATAAAAATTAATAAAATTTCACCTATACTCAAACTACTTTCAGCAAACCTACGTACCCTTCCTTACACTCCTTTTCACAAAATGTCCATTTTCACCATATTTCTTGCACCGCCATTTAAACTTGTAATATCCTTCCTTTCACACAATCTCAACTTATTATTATTATCAGATAAACGCATTAAAAATTTAGAATTCACTTTACAAAGTGCCATGCAATCCGAAAATTAATCAACACTATTTCACACAACACACAATGAAGCTTTTCCAAATTAACCCCCTTTTCCGATTAAAGAACTGTAATTCGTTCATTAATGTCACGTTTCACACAACACAGAATATAGCTAAATGCGAAATTTCCAGATTTCCCCTCCTTTTCCGATTAAACAACTGTAATTTGTCCATTAATGTCACATGACATATCTCATGATCTTTCATTTCCCTCACACAAAATAATGCGTAATCGGAACTGCGTGCTTCTCATTATTACCAAAGTCCTAGGTAGTAACCTTTATCGCCTCCCAAATGTCGCCAAACTACCAGTTACCGTATTCTAAAGATCAGCCATATGTGCTTATTTACAGAGAGCAATGTTATTATGTATGTAAGAGGTCATTTGGATGAAAGAATAATTTGCAGAAATGTATGTTTGTGTATGCAGAACAGAAACTACATGTTGTAGAGAAATGTTAGGTTAATAAAAAATTTTACTGCGTTGCAAAGCTATGTGAGTATATAATCTGGTATGAAAAATTTTTTAAAGTACCATATGCTTAAGCTGATTAAAAAGATTTAGACTGACTCCCTTATTGAAAATGGATTGATTTTGCTTATTTTCATTCCATCTGCCCACCAAATTTTAATCATTCATTCGGAATAGCACTTTTTATGGCATTTTGTAACAGCCCAAAGATATAAAATATACTATCTCATGTTATCTATTTCAGACTGGTTTACACTCTTGTCTTCCTAATTTGAAGGTCATGTGATTAACAGAATTTCCGTGTGAATAACAGAATCCATGTGATTTCTGTTAGATTAACAAGAACCTTTGGTACTCTTCTGTTATACCTTTTATGTAATTTTTTTCATTCTTGACAATGATTGAAATCAGATATTCAGTTTATATTTTTAGATGATAAATTTGAGACTTGTGACTCCTCTGTTACAGTCGCATTATGCAACTTGTAGTCTTCAATCGAAACTGGAGTATTATGCTTTTCTTTATTTTGGCTTGATGCAAATGATTTTGTGTACTACAGTCAAAAGTCGTTAATCCGGACTCGTCGGGACTTCAGCGATTCCGGATTATCGATTTTTCCGAATTATAGATCATCAGTTTAAATCTGGTAAGATGGCATTCAGAAATTATAAAATTAAAAACATGAAACCATAATTTATGAAATGAAATTATTAAAGGATATAAAGAACAATTATGATCTAAAGGATATCTATTTAATTTATTTACAAAAAAAAAGCTATTTTTTATAGTTGTTTACTTTAAAAACTTTCTTTCAATTCTATAAGTTGTTAAGTGCTTCTTTATGTTACATTTCTCTTTAATTCTAATAACCGTAAACTTTCAATTCAGTTACAAAGTTCCGCTGTTGAAGTCCTATAATAGCTGTGTCAAGAATACGACGACTAATTTGTCAATCAAAATTTTTCCGTTTTCAATAACCTTTGTGTCACTTTCTTCACTATCGGAAGCGAATTATAATGACGAGGGATTTGATTTAAATCATATCAAAGACGGAGTACATCGAGATGAAATACTACATTTAGTAAGGAATTATAAGCCAAATAAAATAAAAACATCTGCCCTGAAGATAAGGATAGTGCTGACAGATCAACTTCCAATACACTGCGTGCCGCGGCGTTCCCCACCCCCGCTTCAGAGCAGCGTGAAATTGATAAACAGATTTCGAAATGGTTAGGTAAACAAAGAATTATGCCTTTATCCATTTTTTGCAGGAATTCCACTTTTTGTTTAATGGACTTCGAAACATACTTTCGCTTTGTAGATCCTTTACATATTAGTAAATGTATATCGGAAGTTTTATTTGACATAATTGAAAGTTCAAGCTTACTTTTATGAAATTGCTCTAACAGTCTGCAAAAAATAATAAGCCAGATTCAATTCGAAGATTAAGGAACAACGCAATCTGCAACATTAACTGAATTAGATAATTTTAGCTTAGCTTATACCCTCCGTTATACATTAAACACGCATGCGCGCACGCATATTTTTATACGCGACGCATGCACAGAAAGTTTGTAGCTTTGATGTCCAGATTATAGATCATTCCGGATTATGGGTGTCCGAATTAACGACTTTTGACTGTAGTGACTGCCCTGTATCTAATTACAAGTATTTAGAGTTGAAATCTGTCACCTGAAAAAATGTGAGTACTCTTCTATTATCAGACCACATTCAGAAATGTATGTATATATGGATGTATGTATATATATACACATACATATACAAGTAAAAATATATATGCACATACATGCATGCATACATACATTTCTGAATCTGGTCCCGATAACAGAAGAGTACCCACATTTTTCGTACAGACCTCGTGCAAAAATCCCTTCTAAATCCATTTTAGAAAAAAGAATCCATTTTTTCCTGACTGTATATATATATAGAAGTCATGCAAAAAAAATCGACCAAACGGTTTCAGAAGTGGTCAAGATGGATATTTTAATTGAAATATTATACTCGAAATTTTTCGCAGTTACTTCTTGTACTTCGGAT